CATGATCATCCTCGCTCCCTTTTCTCCCTGGCCCCCTAGTCCGAAGGGCGAGAGGAGTCCTGTGTCATGTGCAGCCCCCCTCGCGCGCGCATACACGCACGCACGCACGCACGCACGTGCCTGTGTGTGTGTATGTGCTCCTCCTTCCCTCCGTGGGTGAGTGTGCTAACTTTGTGCCTCTTACCGCGCCTCCTCTTCGCACGCACGCACGCACGCACACACACACACACAGAACCCCATCCAGGTTCTCGTTGAGGCCGTCATCAACTCCGGCCCCCGTGAGGACTCCACCCGCATTGGCTCTGCCGGTACTGTCCGCCGTCAGTCCGTCGATGTGTCCCCGATGCGCCGTGTCAACCAGGCCCTCTGGCTCCTGACCACCGGTGCTCGCGATGCCTCTTTCCGCAACATCAAGTCCATTGCCGAGTGCCTCGCCGACGAGCTCGTCAACGCCCACAAGGGTTCCTCCAACTCTCTTGCCATCAAGAAGAAGGACGAGCTCGAGCGCGTTGCCGTTTCCAACCGGTAAATCCTCCTCAGCCCCCTCCTCCCTTGGCCGCCCTCTTGTTGTGCGCTGTCGCCCCTGGTGCGCGTGTGCGCGCGTGAGTGTTCCCCCCCGCGTTGCCATGTGCGCCGAGAGAGGCAGCGTCCCCTCGCCCCCCCTGTGCGGGGGCGCGCGCGCGCACCTACTTCCTCCCTGTCGTCCTCCTTCTTTGTCGTCCTCCCTTCTCCTCCTTGTGAGTGTGTGATGGTCGGCGTGGCGGCTGGAGGCGAGCGGGAGGGAGAGAGAGACCCCCAGGGGGGGTGCAGGATCGGCGGCTGGCGGCGTGTGGAGCGTGTCCTCCTCCTCCTCCTCGGCCGTTTGCCGCTTCCTCCCTCCTGCGCTCTCTCTTCCCCGCTCGTCGCCATGGAGATCTCCCCAATCCCATACACTCCCTCTCGGCGAACCTTGTTCTCTCTTTTTTCTGCGCGTGTTTGTCCTTTGCCCTCGTGGTGTGCTGCCCCTCGGGCGAGGGGGGGGGGAGAGCCGGGGCGGAGGGGGGGCCTGGGGTCTGTGCATCATTTCCATCCCTGTCCCTGCTACGTGGGCAGACCCGTGTGTGTGTGTGTGTGTGTGTGT